TCGGCCGAAAACCCTTAAACCGTAGACCTCTTTTTCCATGCAAAATTCCTCCCTTCTCGATCCTCTTTTCTTTTATCTCTCTCACTTCTTTTCTTCTTCTCCCTCTGTTTATCATCTTTCTCTCTCTCTCTCTCTCTCTCTCTCTTTTTCTCTTTCTCTGTTCCTCTTTTGATACTTCTTCCTTCTCTCTCCCTGTTCTTCTTCCATCACGACTTCCATCTCGGTGCGTAGAAAGAAGACGAGACGTTCTCCAAGTGGGTAGCTGCGCAACGCGAGTGCACGAATGCAACACAGTCCTCCTCCTCCTCCTTCTCTTCCTCCTTTCTCATCTCTCTCTCTCTCTTTCTCTCTCTCTCTTTCTCTCTTTCACTCTCTCTCTCTCTCTTTAGGAGTATAAGTCGTCGGAGTCTCCTCTTCGCCCTTTTTATCTCTCGTCTCCGTCGCAAGGACGCTCGTGCACCTTCCTCTCCTCCTTATCCTCTTCGTCCCTCGAACAACTTCTCTTCCTTCCTCTTTTTCCTCTCCCTCTTTTCTCCACTCTTTCTCTTTCTCTCTCTCTCTCTCTCTCTCTCTCTCTTTCTCTTTCTCTTTCTCTCTCTCTTTCTCTCTTTCACTTTCTTTCCTTCTTTTTCTCGCCTGACATCCTTCAAGTTTTGTTTTGTACGTCGGCCTACTCCTCCTCTTGCTTCTACTTATCCTTCAAGCTCTCTCTGCTCTTCTTCTTTTACCTCTCGTTTCACTACTTCGTTTATATCATCGTGATACTCTCTCTCTCTCTCTCTCTCTCTCTCTCCCTCTTTTCGTGCTCTCCTTTCGTCTTTTCTCATCCACTACTCACACATACACACATACACACACTCTCTCTTTCTCTCTCTCTTTCTTTCTAACAGCAAAATCGGCACCTCTCCTCTATCAACTTTACTACACCCTCCCACCCATCGTTCACTTTTTACATTCATACTCTTTTTATCTCATCGAACCCAAAGAAAATATAGTGAACTGTGAAAAGTCAGATTGATATGCGGTAATAATTGATATAATAAGTGATTGTTGAACTCGTATTTCATAAGTTTTGTTCGCGCTGCACACCGAATTGCCGACAGAATTGACGTCCAAGTGAGAGCTATAGTGGGGGTAAACGTCGTATAGGGGAATCGGGAGTCAGCTCTTGTTCATGAGCTGCCTGTTAGACGCCTCTACTTTAGACGTTCGCCGGTAGTTCCTCCGCTCACGACAAGAAGAACAAGAGAGTCTCTTTCCTTTTGTAGAAAAGAGATAGATAGATAGATATAAACAGAGAGAAAGAGAGAGAGAGAGAGAGAGAAAGAGAGAGAGAGACAGAGAGAGACAGGGACAGAGACAGAGACAGAGACAGAGAGAGAGAGAGAGAGAGAGAGAGAGAGAGCAAGAGCAGGTCATCCCAACGTGAAAATTCTGTGCTTCCATTGGCGACACAACAGTGACTCCTTTTGACTTCAGGATACGCGATAGAAAAAAAGAAGATGATCCTTGGATGGTACAGCATTCTTCTCGCCACCCTCTTGGCTTTTCTAATTTATATCGCTTTCTTCTGGAAAATTAATTGGATCAAAGTGAGTCTAACATTGTTTTTATTTATTCCTGATCACTAATAATCATGATCATAGAATTTTTCTCATAGATTTTAATTAAACAGGATTATAAAGTAGAATTAATGTTTAACAGAAGATCGATATTATTAATCATATATCTTTTTCATATGTTTATTTCATTTTTAACATAAATATGTTATATAATTTATTTCTGATTAATTTGAAATAAATGTCGCTAAACTAGTATAAATATAGTCGAAATATCCAATGAAAAAAATTTGATGATTTACTCATTATCTAATTATTCATTAATTGTTGAAAATCATAAAATCATATATATATATATATAATTATAAATAAATAAATAAAAGTCATTAGTTGCTCCCCATTAGAATGATATTATGTATAATATTATACATACGAAAGTATTCTAATCGTTTGTTATTTGTCCAAACAATCATTAAATGTCTAATATTGAACGATTTCAGTACTTGAAAATTTATTTCTTATGTAAGACATTAAATATTTTTTTCTAAAAAAAGAAATACATAACACTAACTAACGTTAGAGTTAAATTTTTATAATTATTTATATAAAATATCGAATAATGCGCCTAGAGGGGATGCAACATTCGCGACATCTTTCATAATATTGTTTGCGAACGCCATCTATCAGTAAAAAAAAAACTTTTTCATACTCTTATGATAAGCGACATAGTGTAATAACTATTGCTTATCATAAGAGTAAAAAGATATTTCTCACTGATAGATGGCGTTCACAAACAGTATTACCGACAGATTTTGAAGTGCTACTTATTGTCAGGCGCGCGCACTTCTATAATTATTATTACATAATTAATTAAATACAAAGCAAATAAAAAAAAAAAATCAATTGAAAAAATCGAATATTTATCAATTTAATTTAATCTCAACCTGGGTTTGATTTTTTTCTCCCTTCTTTTATTTCTTTTTTTTTTTTTTTTTTTTGAATATTAAATAAGGCTTTCGTCTGTTGTTGTTGTTGTTGTTGTTGTTGTTGTTGTTGTTATTGCAAGGACTTGCGATGTCAGAACAAAATAAAATATAGGAAGACGGAAAAATTGCCGCCGGTCTATCCAAATGGATGGTTCGCCTTACTCGAAAGTTCACAGTTGAAAGTGGGACAAGTGAAACACGTATCAGCTCTTGGAGAAAATTTTGCCGTATTTAGGTAAGCGTTAAATTGATTAAAATTCGAGATATATATTGATCAATGGGATATAGAGGGATAGACATCGTTTTATTAAAAATAATTAAGTAATAATTAATTTAAACAATTCAAAAATGATGACGATAGTAATAATGTTAAGTCGTGTGCATACGAAGGACCGAGAAAGGTATCGTCAACATTCTCGATGCATATTGCCCACATTTAGGGGCAAATATGGGTGAGGGTGGACGCGTGAAGGGAGAATGCTTAGAATGTCCTTTCCACAAGTGGCTTTTTTGTGGTAACGATGGTCGTTGCTTGGATATACCTTATGCCGATAAAGGTAAAGTATTTTTTTCATTTTATTTTTTATTTTTTATTTTTTTTTTTTTTTTTTTTTTTTTATTCTTTTTGAAATTTTCGTTTATCACATACAACATACATAAAATTGTTGACTTCGTTACAGTGCCGAATGTTGCCAAAACAAAAGCATGGAAAAGCTGTGAGGTTAATAAAATAATATTCGTTTGGTATCATGCGGAATCGGCAAAACCAAATTGGCAGCCACAAACCCATGAGAAAATTTCTAATGGGACTTGGCGTTTTCAAGGTCGAAACGAATTTATCGTTAACTGTCATATACAGGTTCGAGAAAGTTACTTTTAAACATTGTCCTGATTTCGAATATCATTTAAATGATAGTTAGATAATCCGAATAAATTTTATTTTTAAAAACGAATAAATAATGTCGAAACTTTCGATAGTTGGCATACATAAGTTAAGATCGAGAAGAAAGGAAAAAAGAAAAGAAAAAAAGAAAAAAAGAAAAGAAACGAAATGAAAAAAAAAAAAAAAAGAAAAAAGGAAGAAACATTTCGATTTCGATTTTTTTTTCGGGGAAAGTAAAAAAGTAATGAAACGATCGATTCCAGGATATAGCGGAGAACGGTGCCGATCTGGCACATCTAAGCGCGGTCCATGGACCAGCGTTGTTTCTTTCGGAGGACGTGATGCGTTTCGTTCGTCACAGATGGTCGAACGCAAGATGGACACCGCATTCGAGCGAATCCAATGATGATTCATCTAAAACGTCAATGGAAAAAAACAATCCGGAAAAAGAGACGATGTGGGAGGGTGATTTAACAAAGAGAACATCAACAGGCAAGACGACGATTAACGGAGATTCGAAGAATATGTTGAACGGTAGAACAACGATGACGACAACGACGATATCAAATGGACAACAGAATTCTTATAATTCTGAAAAGCATAGAGCTAGTATGACTCTTCGTCACAGTCTGTTGTTTCTCGATCGATTCGATATACTTGAGCTGAACGTGAAGGTCGAACAGATTGGTCCAGGATACGTCGAGTTATTCATCGAGACCACATTCGGCAATATGTTCATCTTACAAACTGTGACACCGATCGAACCATTGTTACAACGTGTTTGTCACATTATATTTTCTCCGCCATTATTGGCGCCTTATGCCAACATCATATTTCTCGGTGAATGTTTGATGTTTGAGAGGGACGTTGCTATTTGGAATCACAAGAGATTCGAAACACGACCTATTCTAGTAAGAGAGGATAAAACCATAGCCGCTTATCGGAAATGGTACTCACAATTTTATTCAACTAATAGCCCTACTTATCAGACGGCAATGAAAAGTTTGCAGTGGTGACGTAAGGAAGTCAATTATTATTATCGTTTGAGATCAATCATGCTGAGGACTCGATCGACGATAATAGAACACGGATATGTTGTTTTATTTCCTTCTTTCCCATTCCTTCACCTTGTTACACAATTATTATTTGATCGTTTAAAGATTGTATAGGAAGTAATGTTACGTTCATTCTGATATAAAATCATTACCGCGTTGAACGAGGATTATTGAGAATGTTTCGAAACATTTGGAAGTTAACGTTCTTCCCGGTAAGTAATGTATATAAAACTTATATCTCAGTATAAGATCGGAGTATTAAGTGCAATTTTCTCGATAATCATATATGTATGTATCTACTTGAATACATAGATATAGGTGTACACTAACTAGGCTATAGAATTAGATTATGGAAAAAAAAAAAAAAAGAAAAGGATGAGATATCTATCTTCTCTTGCGAAAGAGAAGTCGCAAAGTAAATAGATGCAATTTCAATAGCATAAAAATATGAGTATTTATGTGGTATATTAACAATATACAAGTTTATAGGTACAAACGTTGAGATACTTGTTAAAACTTAATCCCATTCTCCAATGTACATAGCACGCGGTGCAGGAGGTATCACGCCTCTCGTCGGGATGGGTAATCTTCCATATATATGGTTGTACGGCGATTCGATTCTATTATCCGTGTCTGGAAATTCAACGAAGGTCGTTTACTTGATCGTTCAAAAGATCGCGTAATGATCGGATAAAAGGGGATCATCGGACACTGCTCACGATTATATCGCACACGCTTACAATTACACAATATAACATATAATAAACATATTTTTTAAACTATACAGTAGAACGGAGAGACACGGTCAATGACCGGTTCTTCTTTCTTTTTTTCTTTCTTTCTTTCTTTTTTTTTTTTTTAATTACGTTAAAAAAATGACGCAACTCTCACACACACACACACACAATCTCTCTCTCTCTCTCTCTCTCTCTCTCTCTCTCTCTCTCTCTCTCTCTCTCTTTCTCTCTCTCCCTTTCTTTCATTCTCCTCATTCTCATAAGAACAACACACAGTGTTTCTTGTAGACGAGACACGTTCGAATTATCGTGAATCGAATTTCTTATTTTCTTCTCATTTTTCTGCTTTTTTTTTCTTTTTTTTTTCTTTTTTCTTTTTTTTTTCGTTCACACCGACAAGTGTCGACCCACATATTACGTACCGAGCCCACTCTCAAAACTTCTCGCATGGTACATGATGTGTGGTCGATTTGCGGGAACGTGATGTCCATATATCTGAGACGATTGACTACTTGCATATACGGAGCCAGCATAAGATGGTGCAGGTTGTGGTCTGATGTGTCCTCGAAGAGGAATACCTTTACTTTGTCCATTTCTTGCCATCTTCACGAAATTAGGTACGCGTGCACGTAATCCACAATAATATGGATCGTCTATAAAAAAATTTAGAAACAACAAACTGTATCTAACATTATCTACCATATGAACAGAACGATGATCGTATATATCCAATGGTATTAATTAACTACAAAAAAAAAAAAAAAAAAAAAAGAATAATAATTCTTTGGTTCTTATCTTACCATATTTTTTTCTATCATCGTTCTTGTTCCTTTTTTCTTCATTCGCCATACCAGCAGGTTTTATCGTTCTCGAGTAATCATCCTCGATGTCATCGTAATCAGGCTGTATAGAAATAAAAATTCATATTAAAATGTACTTCGAAGAAAATTCGAATGGAAAATTTTTAAACGTTTCTAATGAATTTCATAAAAAGAATAAAAAAAAAATATATATATATATATATATTTATAATTACCTTAGGTATATCATGACCATAAAGATTTTCTCTGGGTGGAAGTTTAGGTGGCCTCTCAGCTCGTCGTTGCTGGTAACTTGTGGATTGCATGTAGATTTGTTCTCGCGAATCTCTCTCTGATTGCATTATTTCGCTAGGTCCAACGGAGGATGATACACCAGCGACACTGTAAGGATCCTCATCTGGAATAGGTATCCTTGGACGATTCTTTATATCTACAGGCCTTTGCAAGGCTAAAACTGAAAAACGATGTTGATCGTTTAATTAAAAAAATCATATTAAATGTTCATTGATAGAATTAAATTGAACGAAATCTTAAAGTAAATTTTTCTTATTATACCTGGTGGCAGTTTTGACTTGAGCATGTCCAGTCCAACGACGTTCACGATCAGAACCCATACTGGACATTGAAGGAGATCTGCTTCCGTTCTTACGAAAACAATAGCACTTAAACATTGCATCTCCAATCTTCGTCTATCGGGATAAGCTCGTCGAGTCTCACGAGATAAGTTTGTTTGAAATTTGTTCATATCAAACAACTGTAAAAGAAAATCAATGATAAAGTCTATTCAATAAATTCTATCTTTTTTAATTATCATATATTATATATTTTTATAAGTATCATATCGAATAATTCACGATCACTATAAAAAAAAAAAAAAAATAATAATAATAATGAAGAATGATTTGAATAATGAAGAAGAACATTCACAAAGAAATATGCCTTACCTTTCCCGGTTTCTCGTGTTCGAGGGCACCCTGTGAATTACGTATAATTTCAGGCCCGATAGCATTATCCTCCTGATTGGTTGGTTTGATGTAAACATTATTTTTACACAACCTTTTAATAAGAATATTTCCTTGTTCGTCCATTTTAATTTTAACACCTTGATTTATATGACGTTTCGCTTCTTCCGTCTTCGGATCACGCATTGGATTATCAAAACCGCAAAGTCCTATCCTGTATTAGGACGAAATAAAATATAAGAAAATAAATTAATCTTATGGCTATTATTAAGAAATAGGATATTATAAAGTAAGTTACCTGAAGCCATCGAAGCCATCATTTGAGCCGTTTATCGTGAGAACCGGTGCCCTAGCATACGCTTTCGCTACGCGTCTATTTCTCTCAAAGACAATTACTTTCGCCCATATTTCATCATCTATTTGATTCCATTTATCCAAAACTTCTTGTATATGATCCTACATGCAAGTAATATAAATGCTAATTAATGAAACGATCTAGTGTTCCGAAAAAGAGATGGGATAACTTTTGACATTTACATATATATTTCTCTTTTTTCCTTTCTTTTTTCTTTTCTTAATTAACGAATATCATAATGTCGAATACTTGAGAGAAAATAGAAAGAACCGGTCAAAAAGAAGATCATCGACCTGATATAAAACTCGATGGTATTTATGTTTATTGAAAGAGAAAGGTGAATTTGTGATTGTAGATCTTTTAAAAAGTATTAAAATCAATCGTCCATATCGATCAGCGTATTAAATGGATATACGTATGCGTGTACGTGTGTGCGCGCAAAAAAAAAATATCTCCGATGTAATTTAACAAAAATAGATGATAAAAATAAAATAAATCTCGAAAGATACCTCTTACAGTATCTAGATCATTTAAACGTGATCGATCGGAACGGTGGTGTTATGCAACGAAGGCTAAGAGTAAGATACGATTTCCGTTCTAATCGAATTCCTTGAGGTCGGAGTGTGTATGCTAGTTGATAGGGGACTATTGCGTGGCATAGTCAGTCTACAGGCGTAATAAAGTTTCGTTTCAGAACGAGACAGGAAAGACATAACGGTGATGGATGATGCATCGATCGATCGATCGATCGATTGGACGATTGGACGATTGTCATCGTTGACCGGAATCACGTACCAGGACGAATCGAATTCGAAGGTGGCTAACTCGTTCTCATTGTCTTTGTCGTTGTCGGTAGAAGTCGACCTCGTTACGCGGAATACTCCTTCATAATTCATAACGTATCTACGGTGAGAAAGGTTCGGTAGATATGTACGTACTTACGTACATACATGCGTACATTGAAAATTAGAACGCTAAGAACACGATCGGGAGGCACGCTTTCCTCTAATTCAAAAGTTTACCGATACATTGTTACGAACTAGCAAATTAACTAGGGAGAGAACCACACAACGTATACAACAGGCACGCCATCGAGAGACTTTCGTATTTCGCTTTCGGCCACGTTTTTACCTCGCTGCGGTTTTGTAACACATAACAGGCCATGCAGAGAGTGGAAAGAGAGAAAGAGAGAGAGAGAGAGAGAGAGACTCGCATTTCTCTTAAAGTTATCCGTGTGAGGTTCTCTCTACGAGCTGATCCTACTTCACTCTCTATCTCTATCTTTGTCTCTTTCTCTTTCCCTCTCTCTCATAGTATCTATTTTCGTTATTACGAGCATAATTTTTTGAAAAGCGATAACCATGCGTTTCAAACCGGTTTGCATCAGTTTTAAGAGCGTGCATGCAGGGTCGCCAAAAACACTTTGCCTTGCATGTGCATGGCTGAACTACTAAACCGGTTGGTACGCTTAAAAGTCAACGAGTAGAGTTGGCGTATATGTAAATGCGAGAATACGCGATATTATTGGTCTTATCGAGAGAGAGAGAGAGCGAGAGAGAGAGAGAGAAAAAGAAGTCATAACGTAAGTACAGGAAATACGGAGATTATTTCAAATGTACCCCTGGGAACCTAACTATTAACGTAAAATCGAAAAGCTGATATTTGATATTTCTTACCTTATACAATTTGTCGAGATTATACCAAACGTCCTCCTCTTCTTGTTCCTCGTATTGAGACTCCACGAGATTATCTCGCGAACGAGAGAGTATTTTTCTTCGCGATACCATTGTGTGTCCGTCTTCTCAATCTAAAAAGAACAAAAAAAAAAAAAGACAGAAATAAAAAACATCGAAATAAAAATAACTTAACCAATGTCAAGGTATGGATTGATGATTGAAAGAAAAAAAAAAAAACAAAAAAACAAAATTTAGGCACATTTAATAAAACACTGTGAATAAAATTCTCTCTTAAAAGATTTCTATCAAAAAAATAAACAAGCGATAATCTCTACTATCTCTTTTCTTTTTTAATATCATCATTTCTTGTTTTAAAACAAGACGACAGCTAACATCCGTGTGTAATCCTTAAAATATTCGTAAAAAATCTGACGTTAATTCTGAAGATAAAAAAGAAAGAAGAAAAAAAAAGAGAAGGAAAAAAAAGAAAAAAATTTGAGAGAGAAGACAGTAGAGAGAGAGAGAGAGAGAGAGAGAGAGAGAAAAGATTGAAGAAACCATTAAAAACCGTGTCATCGAGTTAGCTAGAGACGCGACATGACGTTGTCCAAATCCGACTTCTTTTTATTATTAGCTTATCCGTTCGTCTTTCATACAAAAAATTCGTATGCTCGCGTATTGAATAGAGATACATACTCAATAAGGAAGACGCGACTCACCAATAAAACGAGAAGATTGAAACTTGTAAAAAAACAAACAAACAAACAAAAAAAAAAAAGAAGAAATAGAATCGATTCCTCAAGTCGATTCCACGAGCCACGAAGCTTTTGCGAGGAGCTTTGAAAGATACGAAAAACAAAAAATTATTAAATAGCCCGATACATTCCCATTTGCTCCCACTCTTTTTCCTTCTCTTCCTTCTCCTCCTTCTCTTCCTTCTCTACCACCACCACTATCCCTCAAACGAAGAAACGTACGAACAACTCGAATACCGGCGCGTCAACTGCTCGGAAAAGTGAAATTCGCATTCCATCGGCACGCTCGCTACCGGCCGTACGTGGCACACGTGTACACTGGCATCGAAGTCGGAGCCGTTACACGACACTCCTATGAGTTTCCCATTTACGACATCTTTTTTTTTCCCTATCCTTTTTTCTCTCTCTCTTTCTTTCTCTC